GAAATTCTTGCACAACTAAGTGCTGAAGATCCCTTTAAGTCCAGTTCTGCTTGTTCAAATTTTCTATCAATGGTATAATCTTTCCTACCTCACAAAATCCCAGTTTTCCCTCACACAGAAAGATGAGATTAAATTGTCTACGACCTCATTCAGCTCTACACACTATGAAAATTCCAGTGGGCTTTTACACCCATATTACAGTCTCTGAGCTTGATTTTGCTTAAGGTTACAATCTCATGGCACTCCCTAAATATATGAATGAAATTATACATGGTTTGATGTGGGACAGATTAAAATAATAAATGCTTCAGTGTATACATGATGCCCTGGGTGAAAAACAACACAGTTAACCTGCAAAACAGGAATAATGTCTTTATGTTGTCAACAAATGGCCCAAGATATGCCTCTAACATGTGTATGTCTACTGAAGTTTGCACCCACTTTCTATGGGGACGAACACCAGAATCTTCCTTAAATCATAACTGCTGCCAGGGCAGCACAACACCCAGGAAGTAGGATTGCAAAAAGCTAGGACTGTACTCATGTACTTCTTGTTGATTCCTTGTTGCCAGAAAACAGAAATAAGATCTGTCTTCAGATCCTCTTATCAGAAAATCTTAGCGTGAGCAAACCCTTCCCAGTGAGAGAACAAATATGGTGATGTGTCTTTTCAAAGTGCCAGAACTTTTAGGCTTGAAATTGTTTAAGAGTTTTAAGGTTTTTAAAATTTACAGACAGAATGAAGAGACTGAGGTAGTTAACAATTTCAGCTTGCTCAGTGCCACAATCAACACTCTTGGCACCAGCAGTCAGGAAATCAAAAGAAGAATTACATTGGGGAAGTCTGCTGTCAGGAATCTCTCCATAGTGCTAAACAGTAATGATGTCAGTCTAGGGACTAAGTTGTGCCTTATCCAGGTCGTGGTCTTTGCAATTACTTGATATGCATTAGTGTGCTGGACAATGACTAACGATGATAGAAGAAGAATCAATCCCTTTGAGTTGTAGTGTTGGAGAACAGTGTTGAACATACCACCGAGTACCACGGGAACAAACAGGTCTGTCTTGGAGAGGGTTAAAACAAGTTTCTTCTTGGAGGCAATGATTCTGAAGCTTTGTCTCACATACTTTGGGCATGTGGCAAGAGGGACCAGTCCTTGGATAAAGACATCATGCTCAGAAAGATGGTGGGACAGCACAGGAGAGAAAGAGCCCGGATGAGGTAGATTGACATAGTAACTAGGGTAATGGGGTTAAGTGAGTTAGAGTAAGACTGACTTAGGATAGAGCAGAGCTCTATCAGAAGAGCTATATATCATATCATATACCATACCATATCATATCATACTATAATAAGTATATAATATACAATATATATCTATAATAGTTCTATCTGTCTACTTGCTGTACAGAGGTAACTTCTGGTTGCTCTGAAGCTGAACACTGTAACACTGATGTGTCAAATGTGATAATTGTTATCTATGGTGGACAGTGTTTGGTGGAGCTCCCTGATTAAAACAAGCTTGGAAGCAGGAGTGTCATCCACTTCCATAAATAGCTTGCCTCTGGAAACCCTGTGAACCTGGAGAAAGGATGAAAGTCACACAAGTGTTGAGGACTTTCATTCATAGGGTTGCTATGAATCATCTACAACTTGATGATATTTAACAACAGCATCATCAGAGCTATTATAAATAGGGTTGCTATGAGTCACATAACAACAGTAACAATAATGAATACTTCCAGAACGTTTATTCATGCTAATGCAAAACCTATACTTGGACCAAGAGGGAGTCGTCAGAACAGAGTAGGGTAACACTGCATGGTCCAAAATTGGGAAGGGTGTATGCCAGGGATGTGTCCAGTCTCCATACCTTTTCAGCCTGTATGCAGAGTAGATTATCCGAGAGGCTGGGCTCTATGAGGAGAAGTGTGGCATCAGGACTGGTGGAAGATCTATTAACAATCTGCATTGTGCAGATGACACAACCCTGCTTGCTGAAACTGAGGA